CGACGTGTCGACTCAGGGCTCGTTCAGTGTTGACTCCGAGAATAGAGCTTGGGCCAGCTTTATAAATTTAGCTATGTATAATCCTGTTCATTTTAGATTCCTAAGAGCACTTGGCCGTGCTATCCAGTGCCGTTCTAAACATAATTTCTTCAGTCTAGAAACAGCACTAACCCTAAGCGGAGGATGTGGCAGGTGTTTAGCATTAGATGAATAGTTACCGTATGCGTCTGTAAATATAGTTTTTAATTTGTACTATTTAGGCTTATAACTCTTTGATTTTGGCAATAACAACGGTTAGGTCCTGGAGTTGAAAGATTAAGTCTTTACAGTAATTGCGGGAAGGTGGATTTCTAAATCTTAAATCTGGAACCTAATAAATAAGGACCATCTTCAAATAATCAAAATATTTCGCAATCTTGTTTGTTCTTGGAAAACTGCATTGGAGCAGTATTGCATTACATACAAGCAAGCACTCGCATAGGGGACTCTTAAATTCTACGCAGATTTTGCCATAATGTGGTTACGATTGAACTAGCTGACATATCTGAAGCGTAGAGCGCAACCATTTTTATCGATAGTATCGAGATTCAAATCAGTTAACAATACCAGTCTGCCTTAAGCCAGGCTTTTTGATTGATTGTATTTATCGGCATTAATAAGAAATGCTACGCCGAAAAAGCTGTGATCAATTCCTTCGTAAATTGTACCTTTGCCATTAATCAATATGGCGTATATCTTTGCGATTTCAGATTTTATTTTATACGACGAAACAAAAGTCAGAATTCAAATTAATGTATTCGTTTGTGTTTTTTGACATTTAAACGATAGTTAGTGGACTTTAGCAATCTTCCATACTTCTTGGTCATAAATGCAAAAGCTTTTAGGAGCTGATGTTAACATAAATAATAAGGCGCCGAGCGTAAGTTCTTGCAAACATCAGGTACAGTTTATAACTTCAAAGACTCGAGACTCTGTGTATATCTTTATTTGAGGGCCAGAATGAACTCCAAATCGACGATATAGTTTTTGATCGTCTTTGCTCACCAGGATTACATCGATGAAAAGTCTCCGATGAAAATTTCATAGCCAGTAGAATAGATTTTTATGCTTGAAAAGCCAAAGTGGACCGGGGCACATTTGCTTATGGTCTGAGAGTTGCCGATGTACCCTGCAGGCATTGGCATAATCTGCGAGCTACTTCACTATTATAATTCGCATTTTGCAGCTTTTCTGTGTGGGCATGCTTGAGAATGATTGAGAATGTATATGTCCAACACGTGTGTGGCTTCTGTCGGGTGCGTACCGCTATAGCAAGCTGTATGTTGTTCACTTAATTCGCTGAAACAAATAAGATCTGCTACCAAGAAAATGGAAATGATGAATTGCCTAAGACAAAAAATGTAAGTGAACGGCAAGTAAGTGGAATCAGCAGCAAACAGAAACTTGTACGAGCGGAGAAGTCAGCCAAGTCTTTCCGAAATACTTATTTATGAGAATACAGATTTGTGAAAAAGATAAATAAAATGAATCGGGTAAAAAAATTGAAGAAAATAACGCAACAAACCAGTTTTTCCGAATCCAGCCACGACCCTATTGACAAGTAAAGTACAACACCAGGAGTAGTATCAAGGATTATGTGGAAACATAAAATATGTTCCGCTGCTAAACTGTAGATAAAAACATATAAACAAGCTTAATGATTATAATTAATTAATTAATACTAAGGCATACCAGTTATAATAGAAGTGAATTTGGCGTAATAAGCTCAGAAATCTTTACATGTTATTTTTTATTACTAAATGCTTGTTTACGTAAGCGAATGATTCTAGATACAAACATACCAATGCCAAAGGTGTAAATAAGTATTCTAGGTGCTTCGTTTTCATAACCTATAGATATTTTGCTCTATTAAGGCTGCACATAAAATAAAGAACCGCTTAGGATCATCTATTGTAAACCTTCATACGTTCATGCATTTTCACTGAGGCCGCAAATGAATTTCAACAGAAAGCTGCAACATGTTCCATAAAGTAGCCTTTTTTTTTCTACAGCATTTTTGTCAATTTACGCGCAATATTTTTGGCCACACTTCTCAATGGCATATGTTTACAGTACATTAAAATATAAACTTCATTAGTTAAAAAGAACTAGTTTTACATAATTGGAATAGCCATTCTTGCGTACTCTGTAGTGGACCATACTCCGAACAAAAAAAAAACATCTGCATCAGCCAGTCGCCATCCTCAGATGGACATATTGAAAAGTCACTTTTAAAATTGCTTTTTGGACCTGTAAGTTTCCCATGTCTATGGGTAGTATTAAGTATACAGATATAAATCGTACATCATAATTCATAGGAAGGATCATTTGGGTTTGAGAAATATGACATTTTCGAGAAATCAGTTTTACAAATATATTCTATACACGTTGAGGCAATCCAATGCCTTTTTGGTAAAAGGGCATCCATACATTATGCCTATAAAGGTGGCGTCAGTGTGTCGTATCATCATGAGTATTCAAATTTGTTTCACACAAAGAACATCTGAAAATCAAATTACTGCTGCGGAATGCGAACTTATCATTATCTTCAATGTGATTCCGGAATTTCATTTGTACGAACGTAGCTCTAAATTTTTGTAGGCAGTTGTTTCTCAAATAACCTGCTGAGCTCAGTAGTATACGATATTGTCAGTGGCAGCTCTTGAAGAGCGCATACCAGCATACCTATTCGATTTGCCTCACACAAGGAGCAGATGCAGTCAAGACAAAACTTTTTGTATGTAGCTTCATGTTGGTAGAGACGCACGAATTGAACGAAAATTGCGTAGAGGGCAGGGCTTAGATACGAACACGGAGCCGATCCCGACTCTGGATAGGTAGCCGAAGTAGAAACAGAGTCACGAACCTTAACCACGGAAGTTCAATCCATTAGGCACCAAGCAGCCACCCTGAAACCAATTCCTAGAAATTCCATCTTCATAAAAAGACTAATGGCCAACTCTGCCAAATGCAAGCGAAAAATCGGAACAAGGTACATGCTGAAGCACAGATCGATTGCGTGCATAGGGCATGGGTATAGCATTGTATTTCGAGTTGTGTGCTGCTATACCACCCTTTCCAAGAGCCATCTTAACGGGGATCAAAGAGTTCCTTTAACGACCAAAAGTAGTAAAGGATACTGACGACTATCTTTTCCATCATAAGGCATCATATGCGGCTCTGGACTACAGGCCTGTATTTTTATGCCGTTGACAGCGATTGATTTTTATTATAAGCAGTCATATTCGCAAAACAGTGAGGGAACTATCTGTTATCAAAACTGCAAGTGAGTAAATGACTGACAAATGTACTGCAAGGGAGAGAGCGGCTTTCCTGAAGGATATAACGACAGTGTATTGTCTAAAGCAAAGCTGAAATTGCGTTTAATGCTAGGAATTTTTGCAATGAATATATCGGACATGAAGCCACGTCAGTAAGACATGCATCAGTCTGCATTGATTAAGCTTAGGTTTGCTTAGCTAAATATGCACACTTTCAAAATATCATTACCAAATGGCGACTATATAAGCGTGCTGACAGCGACGCTGTCATCTTGTATTAGAGGAGCCACTCAATCGTGCACCTTTAATTTTTTATCTGCATAACGAAGGAAGCTCTATAACTCACCAACATTGGTTTCGTTTGCTCAGAGCTTACTTTGCCTAGCGGATCCATGAGTTAATTTGCGAGATAGTCTGTAATCGGAAGTCGGCGCGCCAATTGACTTGAACTTACTTATACCACGATAGGCTGGCATGATCTGAGCGATTAACGCTGAGTACGCTCAGTAGACATGCGCGTGTCGCTGGTTCAAATTTCTGCGCTGACAAAGACTTACCATGTTGTTTTATAGGTCTGCTGGAGAAACTCTAGATAAGTAGGTCCAGTAAGATTCAATGCGACTGGACCTTCCAGTAGAAGGCAAATGCCCAATGTTACAAACGAAAAGTAAATCCTAAAATTTGTTTATGTAGCAGGAACAGCTGAAGGCGTTAGAAAACACGAAAAAAATTATAACATGAGCGATAAATTTATTCAGGCAGATTAAGAGCGTGATATAAAGGTGAAGTATGTGAGAATGTTGATAAACATATGATATTGATTTTTGACAGAGTTACACTGAGAGACAAAGCCTTAGCCAGCTTGTGTGCTCTAAACTGACAATAAATTGCGGCTTACAGATCATTACTTGAAGGTAAACAGGCATATGGTTTGATTTTACATCTGAGACAGTAAAACAAAACATAGGATGACATTACCCATGGGACGAGTTGCTGTGTTGATGATTTGCGAAAATTTGCTAGTAGTGCAAAAAAGTATATCTTCTTTTCTGGACCCTGTAGAGTTAGACGAGGTCTACCAGGCAGAAGAAATCGAATCTCCTTCAAATGTTACAGGACAATTAACAGATACCAAACTTTTGAACTCATGAAGAAGCTTTGGCATTCTGTATTGGATATCAGTTGAAAATACAGTTAAGAAGACCTGCCTGTAGAGTAAATTATAGTAAGTTTCGTAATTATACGATAATGACATTAACAGCGATCATATTAAAGTTTAAAAATGTGAGCTACCCAATCACGCGGCAAAACTCAGATTTGACTAGAATGGCCATTTCTACTCCATTGGCATAATGAAGAGCCTGTGTTTACAGAAGACAGCCTGATGGCTGTCTAAATAGTCCGGCACTATAACGGTCGTCATTAATCCACGTTTCCATCATTAGGAGAACATCATAGGAAGCATTATGCTCTAACTGGGAATCATAGACATTTTTATTAGCAAGGGAACCGGTACTAAATAGTTGAAAAGCACTATGTGCGTGGAATACATAGGTATATGTGATGCAATGATAACGAATGTAAAAATAATAAAGTAGTCTGATAATTTTACCTTCTTACAGGCAACAAAGGCGTGCACAAGGCTGCTGTGTATTTCGAATAAAAACTAGTTAGCACAAAACAATAAACTTCCTGTATATCGATTTGTATATATATATAAATTATTAAGCGGCTTTTTCGAAGCTGATCCATTTGAATGAATTGTTTTAAAGAAAAGGCATAAATATCGTCCAAATTACATAGACTTTGGCAGCCAGCAGCAAACATGACAAGTCTTGAAAAAAACGTTTACTAACGAATATATTTCCATCACGAGTGATTTTTACATATTGTGACGTATCATTAATGTTGCACGTGTTATAGTATGAAATTTCTCCAAGCAGTCAGTCACTTTTCTTCCTTATATATATATGAACTAATTAGTGAGATTAGCGAAAACCCCGAAGCATTTTCTTATATAATCGTAACTTAACCTGAAGTGTACAAAATTATTGAATTTTCTAAGAACTAGTTACAAAAAGCAATGTTGGGTTGGTGAAATACTGTCGAGAAAATTCTGTGTAAGTAGTCGTTTAAGTGTAATGTTTCCTCCAGGCCTGGTAGGAAGCCTGCCTTAGAGATCAAGCCCACCATCTTCGTACTAACCTGTTTTAGTAATGTATCATTCAGGCCAAAATAAACTGGTGCAAAATAAACCATACGCCCTCAGTTACATAAAAGTCAAGTATGTGGCATATCTGCATACTGCAAAAGATTTGGAGTGCATATTGAGTAGTGATTCTATTAGTGTGTACGCCTACTTCCCCGTTCATAGTAAAACCGGCCTTAATATTCCTGCTATACTCGATAGGCACTACAAAAGTGAACGCGGCTTTGCAAATCAAGGGTTTCAAATTAAACTGATGAAGACACGTAGGAGCTTTCTCAAAAATTAGAAGAGCATAAGCTTCGAGTCAGAAAACCTATAACATAACAAACCACATCAAGGTCCCATATAAGTGTATGAAGGCAAGTAAAACGGGATTGTCCTCTAGCAGCCCCACTTCTCTCCAAGCGAAAAACATCAGTTTCTACGAAAGATTGAACTACAACCTAAGTATTACCAAGCAAAAGAAGTATGGAAAAGTGTTTGCGGAGCCGTCAAAATCGTCAGATTACTCTTTTTACGTCCTGTCTTTGAAGTGGTTATTCTGTCTTTTTTTCGTTTTGGATTCAATAGATGGTACAAACCTTGACCAAAATCACTCTAGTTCAGGGAAGCAATATTGTGGACTCTTTTCCGAAAACCTAAAGTACGTTCTATCCACAATGGCGCCTGACGAGCTGTCAGATCTCTCTGCAATAAAAAAGGTAAACACTTTTTACACTCTGCTCAACAATATAAATTGAATTTAATAATGAAAATAGGTTTAGATATGATACATATAAAATAGTTGCTATTCCTATAGATTAATCTTATACCGCCGTATTCATCAAGGAGATGAATGACACTTTAGCCATCGCTGTATATGCACGAGAAATCGATGCACGAACTGCAGCAGCGACGAATAATTTTGTTACTACTGTAATTCTCTCTTCAGAGTCGACCCACCACAGCCGTACTTGTCCCTTTTATCTCCGTAGATGTAGGAGGACCACCGATTTGTGCAGACACCTTAGGCACGTCTATGACAAAACACCATGACTCCTCTAAAGCTTTACCAACTGACACCGGTGGCGATATGCACAAAACAGCAATACCCACTGATTCCTCAAAGAATGAGCTTTTTTCCACTATTGTGTAGAGTATTGTCCTCAAACAGTGTTTCAAGCTAAGAATTTAGTTTTCTCTTTAATTGTCAACTATATCCTATCCAGCAAACGCCAGTGTTGTTATTGTTCCGCATTGCTTCACGAACTTGCCATGAGCAAGGAAGGGGTAGTGGGTTCTTGCGACAGTTCACGCAATGCGTATGTTTAGGTAATTGTAGTTACACGGCGGTTATGTGCCACACTTAACCGTTTCACGATGTATGCTTATTGCAGCCGTTCCGAACTTTTTTTTTATATCTTCCGCTTAAATGTTTTCTCATAAGAAGGTTGCTCTATATAATATAACATGATCAGGTGTGTATGTGGATAACTCTGATTTGACATTTAATTACCTATAATTTTACTTTCCATACTGATGTCATATGTGCTTGGTGCTACAGTCGTTTTTATCCTTAATAAAATTGGAACTCCTTAACTTGAGGGTGTCCAAAATCAGTATTCGTGCTCTATCTAAAAAACCGTTGTGCTTGTAGTAAAAGCGCCAAGTTTTGGAAAGCACCGGCAGATTTATATATATATATAACATATGAATTATCTATGCTTAGAAGTGAAATATGTTCTTGTAAATAAACGTGTTTTATATCATATGTATATTCCGATATTAAGAATCGAATAGTTCGCCTGGCCATGCCTAGGTTCTATCGACGAGATTTTTCACAAACCGAATATCACATGCAGATGAAGAACGTCTGCTTATAAATCACATAACAGTAAAGTAGGCAGACGTATTTTCAAAGAAGTCAGCGGTAATATCGTCGGTCGTAATTATGCAGGCAAATCATTCTCGTATTAGCGTCTTCCAATGTTACTAGAAGCGGCTATATTTTTGCCATTTCGACACGAAAATATGTAATAATATCGTACGATAATAGTAGAGATCTCTAAGCATATGAAACCGATATGTGAGATGAACCTGAATTCAGTGAATCGAACGATTCGTGTAGGAATGAAAAAATTTACCAGCCCTATCAGTTTTGCCAAAGTCTGAGGAATGAGTAAGTCTGTCTTTTTGTTTATTGGCACAATCGTATTGTTCTCTTTCATCATCAACAACCTCAAACATGTTGTCCGTAGAAATATATATACGTAGTGTGATGCTCGTGGTCTCTGATTAAGAAACATAACGAGCCGCGTTCAATATTTTCGTTTTGTCATTAGTAGGCCTAACGTTGCATAATGTAAGCAAGGACAAAGACCTATTTTCAATGTAACATTTGCGTGGAAAATACGCTGCCTTTCATTTTTGCAAGTGTTAAGTCTCAAGCACCAAAAACTACATTTTCCACTTTAAAATTATTGTGACTCGTTTATGTCATCACCAACTGACCTGTTAACGTTATTTTGTAAACACTTCATATCACACAGTTGTGATAGTTTTTCTGTTAAATCTAATGATATGATTTATTTCATGGACCTCATTTATGCAAGCTCATTAAGATTCCACTAAAAGGGAATATACTGCAGCGTTGATTTGTGATCAATAATACAGCCAGGTTTGACTATATTCATTGTGGAAATCTTTCTTCAATTTTATTCTGCACGTTCTGGTCGCGACTTATGACATCTATGTTACAATGTCAACTGCAACTGCTTTACGATTAGTAGTCAAACCATCCGCCATGTTGTTATTACTGAAAAGAACTTATTACTCGGAAAAGCAGAGTACCGCAATCGTCATATGGCATATTTGAAATAGAATTTTATATAATTTAACCTTATTTGCGTGAATTTCCTCTAAAAGGTTCCTTCGATAACGGCAACTTGATGTCTTTTTTTAGGAGGTTGAGGGCAAATGCATTATGCAGACCAGACTTCACAAGTGTGTCCTTTGTCTGGTACTGTGGGACTCTCACCCCACTAAACCCCGGACCCCTCCTAAGCTTGGGCTTTGGTTCGGAATATAGTTTAATATTACCTCGAAACTTAATGTCTAAAAAGTAAATCATTATCGCTTCATGTGTGAGCTGTTCTGTATCTCAGAAAAGGCTTTCAGAGAAGCTATCAGCCCCTGAAGATGATATTATATATAAATATAGAAACTGTAGAAGAAACCATAAAATATAAATGTTTCCACTATGTTGGGGTCCCAAAATGACTCCAAGTTTGCGTTACTAGGTTAGCGATGGACTTCACTGGACGTGAGCCAAATGGCTACGATACTCGGTAGTGCTAACCTACCAATGATGAATAACAAATAATCGTAAGTAGTTTCCCAAATGCATATCGGTTTGCGTAAATCGCTTAACAAATGTCCTGTAACGGTTTCAGCAACTCGGTGATAAGTCAAGATTGGGTCCCTTCGCTATCTTCTTCCAAGTGTTCCGCTACCGGAAAAATTGTAAAGCGCATCCACGCACTGACAGGTTCGTCTCGTAATTTGCCTATAATTAGATAAATATTGCTTTACTACGAACAGATGCGACACGTTTGCTACAGACGATTGCTTATTATCAGGATACACACAGGGTATACGCTTGTTTATATCTATTAATGGCTGCGCATCAATCATATATATTGAATTTCAATTACCCTTTGACTATATCGAGAAAAAATTATTAACACCAATATGCAAAACAAAATAAACTAAACAATAATGAATATGATTTTTTTTTCATGTAGGCTGTTACTCAACATCGGTAAGTTAATATTCCGTGTATGATATATATATATATATATATATATATATGATATAATTTTAACTTGATGAGTGATGTTTGCGGAGGTATATATTATAGAGATTTGTGTTCAGCTTAAAATAGAAAAAAAATCAGCTTGCCAGGTATGTCAAGTGTTACGGAACGTTAATATATTTGGATACAAACAAAGATAAGAACTAATTTTTGAATATGCAGATAAAGGCTAAAACCCATAGCTTCCCTAGTTTTTAATACAATCATGGTAATTAGTTTCGTACTGCTCGGAATTGCTAGGCCGAAAAATGTTGAGTTATACAACTGGTCTTACAATACACAATGGTCTTACAATGTTTAATATTTAAATAAGTATTTTGGTTTTGTGTGTGAGACGTACTATGTAACACTTGTGGTCACCTTCCGGCATCTGCATCCTCTAGTTTCAACCACTGTCAAACGTGTTTGCGAATTTGCCATATTACAAATGCGTAGTAAACTGTAACTTGAAGAGACAACCATGTATTATTTGTTTCACAAAAAGCTTATTGAACGAAAAAGCTGGAAAAGTGAGATGAACTCTTTACCATAGATCACCTCAGATTGATTTGACGTATTTTTGATACTGTCACACCTTTCATGTAAACATCCGTGTGGGTCCACTGATTTCGTCCAGAAACACCCAAACGGTTAATTATCCGTCGCGACAACCATTCATCGACTTACCTATTGTATTTGTCCAAATAGCAATCACCTTTATCTATTACATTGTCAGTGAATGGGTCCGTTATTTCTAGAGTTTGTTACAATTTTTTCCAGCGCACAGACCATACGGCAGTCGTCGAATTTATTTCCGTTCGATTTGCCAAGCGTATATAAATAAATCAACTACACTAGCCATAGCACCTCTGAAGCACACTTAATGGGTGAGAGGGATATTCAGCTGTTTTCGGTAGGTTCGGTTCAGATATGTATGTACTAATCGCTCTGTGAACACTTGTCTTTGTCATGAAGGTATAACACGAATGAGAAGCCGTTTGCTACGGTAAATGATTGCATCAAGCCGATGTCAAGTAGATACCTAAAGGTCATCTCTGAGTTGAAAATGTCGTGGCTCGGGAACTTGGGTCTAAGAACGCATATTCAGTGTTTCGATCTTGGGCCGTAGAAGAACCGAAATTGTCCCAAGGGGATCGGCAGCCAACATGGCGGCGACTAATACACGCGATGCGAGGCTAAACAAGGGTCACTTGAAACTGCCCGAGCGCTAGACGTCACGTGATAGGTAATAGCCTAACCATTATTAACATGAATATATCGTTTCTATGTTTCGTGATGAATGACCCTTTTGGTAACAGCTAATCTGTTGTTTGAATTATCCGTAAGCTGTTTACATCACATGATCAGGTCTCGCGCCTGGTGCAAACATGTACAGTACTTTCTGTTTCTGGTTAGACACTTCGCCGCCATCAGACCAACCGCAGCCGTTATAAACTGAATATTTTTTGACAAAAAATTAACGTCAACTACGTTCTTCAGCAATAAGAACTGTGTAAGCCTATAGCCGATACGAGCATTCGTCAATTAGCGAGCATAGTGAAGTACAGTCTTTCTGCTGGCAAAAAATCGATTATTAGCAATGCTTTAATGATAGTATCGAACGTAAAACTCGAATGTTTTTCTGTAATAAAAACTCAAAACTTTATCTATTTTTATATATACACAAACACACATTGTCATATTGTTGTGTTGAACGTAGTGTTCTTAAACTACTTATCACCACATTCAGTCGCAATAAAATTGCATAGGCTTCTTATATTTAAAGCGTTTGTTGTTCTTATTTCTTTGATTGTCAGTATTTTTGCAAATGTATGCACTCATACGTCTCTTGCTGGCATAATTGTGTCTTCTCACTAGACTCCACAGGTTCAGAGGGCCATATGTGGCACTTAACTGTTCTCTATATACATGGTCATACCTTGTTGCTTATATTCGGTTACACCTGGAGCAGCTTTACAATGAATTGAAGGTTAAGCTGCGAATTATGTATATTCTGAAGTACTTCTGTTTCGTATCTAATTACGTGACAATGGAACAAATGCATTTGGTTTATTTCTTCATTGATATAGATCATCTACAAGCCTCAGTGAAATAATGCAGTCGTCCTTTATTCAACGTTTGACATTCGATCGCTAAAATACAGGGAGCAACACAGGGAGGGACATTCATCCTCTTTTAAAGGTAGTGTCGGGCGGTAGCCAAGTCTTTAGTCTAGAACTGGGTCGTAGATGTTATTATTTGGGATTTCACTTGAAAAGTTTCCAGTCTTACGGCTTCTAAAGTCTGGAAAATTAAGTCCGCCATCGATGTATTTATTCAATTATAGAAAGCAAAATGAGGATATGTCAGTTGCTGTTGTCGACGGTTACCACATGGCCTAGAACATAAGTAGAATTGCTCATTCTTAGCGACAGTCGTTTGGAAATTGCTCGTATTTCTACCTCATAGTCTAGTTTGCTGCTATATAATTGTGGCTACATATCTAAGTCAGTTCGGCAGGTGTTTAGAAGTGGTTTCAGGAACACAGAGACGTATCGAGACAGTATGTTTGTCTTTAACTGTTTCCGGGCGTTCTGCTACCCCCTAGAGCTGCGAAGCCCATGTGCGCTCCTACAGGTTTGTCGTATAGTTTAAGCAAATACATTCAACAATGAAGTACATAGTCAGCTGTTTCTTCAAGCTTTATACGTAAAGGTGAAGACAAAGGTTGACTAACGGCCAAACTATATTTTCGCCTAGAAATGCCGCAGTTACAGTAGCTATGTTAATTTTGTTATGATCCCATTGTCTTAACGATTAGCACATTTACGCGAATTTGCCTTTTATTGGTACTTATAGAATAGCTATAGAAGGAGACAGCCATTTACTAATGAGTGTTCATTTTGCAAAAAAAAACCTTTTACGATGTCCACTGCAGGTAAAGGATTACAGCTCTCGGATATTACCAGTATTTCTATACGAATGAGGCGTTCAGCAATAAATGCTCATTTCAGAGGCATCTGAACAAGTCGTTGCTTGTTCGTACAGTCGATAATGGGTCTGTTTTACATTTATGTTGGCGAGTACGAACCAGCTGTGCTGAACAACTTCATTACTTCGAAAATCCAATAGGCGTAATGTATACATAGGTAGGACTACCGTCTCGAAAGCGTTACTTACATCACTTACAATAGTGCTCGTTGCTGATTTCAACATGTGACCTCCTCCACTCAAATTTGCCAGTTGCCGTTAAAATGCTTAGTTTCGGCGTATTTTTACACGAGAGGGAAGCTATTTGCTCATGATATTGCCGTTGAGTGAATGTTCAATATAGTTTTAACAGTCGTCTGATGACCAGGTACGGACTTGCCTATAAAGCCGCGCAGCTAAAAACATTTGTACCAACCCGTGTAGAGATTATTAGAGACGACTTAAACGACAGCGATTTAAAATTGTTGAAATAACCCAAATTATCAATAAGATTAGTTGACTTCCTATTCGGGTCATGCTTTGTATGGTCATAATCGATTCAGGCCAAGCATATCTACAAACAAACGCAATGCCCCTTATGCCCACCTAAGCTATAATATGTAAGCGGTTTACATTGGTGGAAGACGATACCTTACTTTTGCCTCCGGACACATGATTTGTAGTCGTAAATTCTAACCAGGCTTAAATTATGTTGCAATATAGGCATTTACACATCGTGCATGGATCTCGATGTCGCTGTACACACAGGTGTTTGGAGCTCTCTACGTCCCCAATGTCCTCACGTATGCCCCCTCGTAAATGCGATGAAGAAAGTATTTGCAGCTTTCATCCTGAACACGTCGACTGGCATTCCTTACCTTTCATTGTCAAGTTGGCTGATTTATAACCTATTGTCCTATCAGTAGGTCTTGGAACAGCGTCAGCTTGGTACCTGCATACTGAAAAAAGTTTGTTGTGTCTTCCGTCCAGCGCTTAGGCCGTTAAAGGCTTCAGACGGCTGACTCCCAGCACGAAACAAAATAATGTGTATACCGAACTCAAACTGTTGATCACGTAGCGTCTGTTGGTCACGGCGTTTCTTTAATTTTAGCAGAAAAACATGGTACCCCTCCACTGTTAGCTTCACGTGCGTGCTGGTAGTTATCAGGCAGTCGTGCTGTTGGCAGTACAAATAGAAATTGTGTTATCTAAACATGCTACGGTCAACTCTTGAATAACAATATTGAAAAATATGATTTGTTAAATCGACGGGAATGTCTTACCGAATGTTTTTTTTTTCAGATTACGAGTTGCCGATTACCTATTGATTGTCAAGAGCTTCGTCCTGAGGATATACGTAACGATTGAAAGACTTATTGGCACGTCCACTTGTTGTTCAAGGCATCATTAGAAAATTTCTAGATGATTGAACGCTAGGCTTACTTCGTTGAGTTGGATCCGTAGGAGCGATCAATAAAAGAAACACATTCAATGAATAAAGTCCGTTTTTATCTCTCGGTCAGGATTTGAATAGATTCCACCGAACATTTCTCCTTGTTTTCTCATGTACCAAACATTCACTAGTATGAATGAGAAACGTTCAATGAATATCATAAATCACCTTTATCAATAAGATAATAGTTTTATATGGTGGTTTAGAGCTATACAGCAAAACTACGTCGGACTATTTTAATTAAAAAAAAAACAGCTGATTCTGGTTAAATCGCGAATTTCAAAAGTCTAAGCTTGGTCGCGTTCTATCCTTGTTTGTTTCCACATTTCGTTGACCTGCTTAATGTAGTCGGAGAAACCGATTCAAACAAAGGATTATCTTGTATGATTTTTATATGTGAATGTCTGCTTTATCAATACATGAGGGTTATGTGATTTCATTGTATTTACTGACCTCGAGGCATCATGTAGTTTAATAGTTTTTTTTTTCATTTATATCGTTTTACAGTCGATCTCGGTTCCTTGCTAGAGCAAGTTGGCGAGTTCAACATGACAACATCTGACGAACCTATTCTCATTACGCCCGACGACTCAACCATTGAGATAGAACTTGTTGATTCGAAAGCCGAACCTGAATCTGGTCATAGACGTCGCGGTGTGACCTCTACCTCATGTTTCGTTTGCCTGCGGGGAAACCTGCGAGGTGCTCATCTTGAGCGTCACCTGAGAACGCACACCAAGGAACGGCCGTTCCAGTGTCCCCACTGCGACTACAGAGCGTCACAGAAGTCAACACTGTACACGCATATTGCGTTGCGACATGCTGCAGCACAAGAAAGTTTAACTGAAGAACAACAACGTCATTTCATAGAAAGCTGTTCAGCTATGGTGTCAGCAGCAGCGTCCTCCGACGATACGACGGGCGGAAAGCAAGCAAGCCGCGTCGACAGATGGATATGTGCCATCTGCTCGAGACGGTGCCCGTCGGCGGCCCACCTACGGATGCACCTGCGAGTCCACACGAAGGAGAAACCCTACGCCTGCGAGTTCTGCCCGTATAGGGCTACGACAAAGGGCAACCTTAAGTTGCACGTCGGCAGGCTTCACGCCACAGTACTGCGGTCAGATGAGATCAATCATTCGGCTTCAACAGCTATAACAACAAGTGCCAGTGAAGATGGTATTTCGGTGCGATCAAATCCGATCCTATCAAATCTGCTGCTACCAATACCGGTGCCATCAGAACTATTAGAGATCGCCATGACTGTAAAAGAAGATCGAAGCGACGATCAGCAGGTATAGAAGTCAACAGTTCACAGAGTCTGTCAGCTACTCAAGGTCTGCTTTAATGCCAACCTATGGATAATGTAGACACAATAACAATGTGCTTTGTATATGTACGAAACAACAGCAACTATCCTATGCGGTTTCAGTGACTTCCTCTCAGAAAAATATGCTTTACTTGGCAATATTGAGAAATGTTCATTCGCGACTGTGTAACATGGGCATTCGTTCCTTTATACACCCGTAAAGCATTTCCATTTCCGTACAGGGAAACAACAATTTCAATCTAATAAATCCATATATCTATATATATATATATGTATATATATATGATAAATTACAAACCATTGGTAAAATTGTGCGTGTGGCATGCGAATTCTAAGTTTCATATTGATTGGCATTAATTAACGGTAATTCGATAATTAGACATCAATTCTAGCAACTATGTGTTCCATATGTTTGAATCCTACTGCGGACGTTGAATCGCAACTTCCTTCGTATTTCATACAGCCAGCTATTACCAGATCTGGGTGATCAGCCCGAGCTTTATTATATTGCTATTATGTTACTACGCATGACTCTTTATTTAATTCGTAGAGATGTGTGTACGCGTGTGCCGTTATAAGAAATGAATGTCTATAGAAAATAAGCGAAATGTCATTGAATGAGGTTCATTTTATTGTGCGATAATAAAGCACACATATGCATTCTACGGAGGCTCTTGTGGTGTCGGCGAGTATATCATACAATGAAATAAGTCACTGAAGCGCCACCCGAAATGATATTCCGACAATTAAGGTCATCTCTTTATTGATCGGAACGTGTGCGTAAAACAGGCACGACAGTGTAATTTGTTTCAAACAGCAAGCACGTATATTGTATAAATTGTAGAATGTATGGAGCATATGAATGACGAAGATGAGAGAAATATCGTATAGCGATGGTCACGCATCGGGATAAATTTCATAGAAAGGAGGTTTAAATGTGAGATGTAGTAATCAGTTCCTGAAGTTGATGCAATCTAATTGGATAAAATTTTTGGATTGTGTGTTCGTATATGCCAAAAAAAAATACATATTTTGTGTTTCTTACCTTTCGCACATTGGTGATTAAACTGTTTGAGGATGCTCTTGTTTTTTTTTAATTTTGTTTTTAATTTTAGTTTAATATTGTTACCTAGAAAAAAGCTTACTGACACCGATAGTCGAACGCCGAACACGGAAGAGAACTTAAATACCGTGCACACGGTTCTTACTTTTGAGCGAATAACGTTATTAACTCGTGGATTTTCTTGGTATTTAGCATTATCTTAGTAAGCAATGAACATACTGTTCTAACTTACCCTCCATATACGATAAGCAAAAATAATTGATATACGCTTCCTCTATTCGCATCTGTAATTAGGTTGTACAATATACCAGGGCGCTTACCCGAGTTGTCGTTCTTTGCTCTACACTGTTCTCAATAGAAGAAGGATTGTTCGGTTTTATATGGAAATAGGCGATAAATAAGGGCAGGCACGATTTTACAGAATACGGCATTTAAATCGGGACAAATTATTGGCGGGCCGTTTGTCATGACGAACATACATTCATCTGCGACTTCTGGTACCAGATGAATGCCGCTTTCTTCCGGTAAAGCAAACTCGTCATACAAACAACAGGGCGTCGCCTTCTAAATTTTAGCACAGGCCAGCTATTGTCTAAACTGCATTTGTCCCTGCGCTAGACTAATTCTAACCAAAATTGAAAACTTTTTTTTGCCAGAAATCGACAGTCTACATTATAGGCGTTCCTCATGCGCTTCCTGAAAGATCGTATAACGACCTTCATAAGCCAACCAGAAGATTCCTAGTGGAGTTTAGGTTTACAAGGCTTTAAAAATTCAATGAAATGACTTGCTATTTTGGGTAGATCTAGAACTTCGTTACAAAAATGGAAAGCCGCTTTAGAGAGGAGAGTACCAGTTATCCATTGGACCGTTTAGATAAGTTCCGACAATTAAATTCTGCGACACCTTTGGACCTCCTAGCCATTTTGAATCTTTGCATTTCTGAGATTTTTTTGCCTGATATCAATCGAAAATTCAATTCCACAGGACTCTGTTTTATATAGCGTATTTTAGCGACATAGTGCAAACTCGTGTGAGTTTGCATTACTATATCGATTCACGCACGGCTACTGTATCTGCGACTACCATGAGTAACCTTTTAAAGTACTAATCAGTAATTTACATCCCGAATCAGAGCTGGAGTCGCAATTCATAACGGTTATATCGAATATATATGATTATAAAAAAAAAAACACTTGACTGATATAAAAAATATCTGATGATATTTAGAAACAGTATTTGAAGCAATGAAAAAGCATATGAAGAAGTAGTAATTTAGGTGCAGTGAACTGCAAAATGTGCAGTCAATCGATGTCAGTAGCGATGACGGAAATAGCCGAGAGTAGCGCTCATAAGTGTTGCGCAGTTGAACTTAACCACGTTACCTTTACATCGGGCTAATCTGTGTGATATAACGTAAAAATATTTAAGGAAAAGGGCAAGTTGTCTTAAACCAAACTAATGATGTGTATGTGAATCCATTTACAATGATAAGTCGTATTTAATCTATCATATGACCTATGTGTTCCATCAGCGGCGGCCACTCTGTACTTTTCAGTGCAACGAGATGCTAACTTTGGTCTACTTCATGGACTGGCCGAAATTTTTTGACAAGTGTTCAGTATATATACAGCCCGGGTAGACGACCTGATTATAGACTAATATGCTATTATGTATGATGTGATGTTATGTAAAAAAAACATACATGCAATTTTTTTTATGTTTATATAGCCGAGATTATTCAGATCACGTAGTGTACATTTGCCTCCTGCACACGATTGTTCTGCGATAGGGACAGGACTGCGAACAGAATTAAGCTGGTAATACAGTCACTTACCATGAAAATTGGGCGTGCTGTAGCTAAAACACAACCTGAGCTCTCCAACGCTCGGTAGATTTTAGACAGGTGACCAAACAAATGCACAAAATAAAGGGCTATATATTCAAACGCATCAGAACTGGTCTTTTCAATTACTTTAGCCTACTTGGAACCTTGAGGTTAATATTTCACACTTTTGTTTAATTTTAGATTTATTGCTTTCTACGTAAATTTATCAGTACATAATATGGTAAAAGGTTCATCGTCTCTGTTTTTTCGTACTCTAAGCACCTACCCCAACAAAAAAAAACTTCTCTCAGTTTTGTAATATACGGGTTTTTTTGTAACATACACCTGCTAAAGAATTGGAAAAAAAGGACGAATTTTTCACCGATCAGTACAAAAACTCTAGCAAACGGCAGCTACTCTTGGGATGATAGGGAGTTGGCCGCTATGTGAAACTTGACGGCGACGATCGTGTCAACACATATGGCTCAAACCTTGGCTCGTATGAAGATTGGTCGCTGGGTAATTCTCTCTCTGTTTGTCTGTCACCGGCAAACTTGATATTTACCCGCTGACAACACGCCTAAAATTTCCAGAACTATGACGTCATCGGTGCCTTTCCCTTATGTAAGGGCCAAATCGTAGGGGATAATAGGGACACATTTCCTTTAGTCCTAGTAGACGCAACTGTAGGAGATTTTTTAAGCGAATCAGCTATGCTGACGATATGTGCTACACTCCATACTTGTTGCTGCTACAACTATCATTTTCTCTAACACGACAATAGCGACGACTAAAACAATCTTGGCATTTTAGCCGAGCCCGTTAGCTAGCGTCTACGATAGTAGATTTTGAACCGAAAATGCAGCAAAACAACGAGGGTGAGAAGAAAGGGAAATCCAGACTTGTCTTTTGTAGAACTAACTTTTGTTTATGTGTACAGTCCGTTCATACAAATCATACCTACACCTCTTTTTTTCACACAAGATTAACAATTTTTAACGTACAAGAATACACTTTTGATTTCACCTTTTTTATGGTAGCTCAGCCTAAAAGGATTAGTGTAATGTTGCAATAAAGAGACCGCTAGGTCAGGGAAATCGTAATTTCTACCGTAGCCTAGTTAAGGTTCTTACAGGCTTCGGGTAAATCATCGTCAAGAGTACATGCTGCAAGGCAAGTCTTGCCCCAGCTAGTAAACGTTGTTCTATTGGCCTAAGTGCACATAGCTCTAGTGTACAATGAATGAATTAAATTGTAATGGACACAAGAGACGGGCAATCACAATAAAAATACGTTTCGAAAGGCTGAACAGTGAGTACCCACCCGGTACGCGCTATAAAGTTCGTTCCTTTTTTTTTTTTTTTTTATAGTACATTCAAATACAAAAAGTGAAATTTCTTAAATATACGTATATTAACTCTGGGTCAAAATACAGTTTAATTACAGTGTGGTTGCAAGACTTCTAAAAATACAAAAACTAATACGTGAGAGAAAAAATTAGCAAAAGACTCCGATAAAGGTATACATTTTTCGGCATTAAATAATATGCAAACATTATTCTTACTTAAGAGATAATATAAAATAAATTATAGTTATCTTGCATAGCCCAAATAAAACGAGTGGGCTATTTCGCCAACGATTTCAATTACTAATGTTATTTATAACAAAACGACAACAAATACTCTATAGGCTTTTTTATTATAGGCCAGTTAGCATATTTTCAACACCACTATCAGCTTTGAATAGAGCTATTAGCTCATTAACTTTAAATCAAAGACCAACAAGTTTGGAGACGGCTTATAGGCAACTTCGACCGACAACAATTTCAGTTTTCATCATAAAAGCGGTTACAGAAAGGTTGTCTATTACAAAGTAGGTAAAAAAGTGTTCTTATAGACTTGTCCCGAAAAATATTTTCAAACGTAATTGGAGTTCTGTCGAGTCGGAGTCGAAGCCTGTAAGATGTCCCGGGTATCCAATGCGCAGAGCAGACATTTCACAGTGGTGTGACTAACATAAGTTAAGGTTTGCGACAAGACCAAGGGTAACTAACAGAACAAGTTCATTTATATATATACACATAATTTCTTTAACCGCGACAGTCTCAGAGAAACGTAGCAACAACTCTACATTGGTGTACATCGTGTCAGTTATTTATTAGGTATTTTCATACGATTAGCAGACAAAAGGTCGAAACGTGCTTCCTATTTGTGAATCAATTACGTATTCAGACGGGTCGTTAGAGGCAACCGCTGCTTGCAATGTTCTAACGTCTACATTAGTATAGATATGTCCTTCGAGATGATATTATCATGTCCTTGTTTGCATGAATTAATTGGAACGCTGCAAGTTGTTTTTCACTGCTGCCTAAATTCAGCTAAAGCATAAGAAAATTTGCGTTCTTTCCATTAATTCATGAAGGTCAGCGTCCGGCAGATGTGTTTAAGTAATGTTTGAGCAGTGGGTGTTTATTTCTGCGATATTGTTTGCCGCTCTGGATATACTACACAACCAGATAATCGCACTCACCTCAACTTGCCGACTAACCCTTAGAGTCTAGACTTTCTACGAGGAGAACTGTAATTTCAGGGCACCAATACTTCTTGGGAGATGAATGCATTGAAGACAGATCATTTATTTTCATGTTTGCTTTCGTTAATTCAGATGAACATGAACCGTGCTAAAGATGTCGTCTTGTACCTAGATGCGTTCTGGGCTTTTCTAAAGACAGACCATTTAGTCTGATGTCGGTATTTCTTGGTCGTTGTCTCGAAAAACTCGTTTAAAACGTTATTCTATTATATTTATTCCTAGCTCTGATTTGCTGGTACGACTAAGTTTCCAACGGCCTTCCTAGAAGGGCTATTGTACCAGCTAGTTCATTTTAGATTAGGCAGCTCTGGCTACTTAGATTGTTCTCATTTAATTGCAGGTTTTACACATGTAACGCTGATATTGTATAAAGACGAACGCAGTAAAAAGTTCACTTCGCGATATTTTATTCATGTGTTTATTTTATCAAGACCATCTACGCATCTCTCGTGACACCATCATTAATTTAAATGTATATACCGTATTATACAACGTATATGGACTTATGTATACGATACAGTTCAACCGCGTTCTATATTAGTTAAACCAGTAAATATATATATGTATGTATATATATGTATGTATATATATGTATACATATATATATGCGTGTATAGTTGACGCTGTTGGATTAAAAAATCAACTTCGATCTTTTAACAAATTGTAGGTTTACAACTGTACATCGGTATGTTACCTCACGCCATTTGCAACACCATGTTGCCGATGCAACAAATATTTACACTAGAGAACAACGGTACGTTTTAAACTAAGATTTTCAAATACGAGACTCTGTTGTTTTAAGAAGTACTTCAGAGTTCGGAAAATAATAATGGCCCAAATTCAGCGTTTTATTTGTACAACAACTAACTGCAGACAATACGTCTGTCTTGCCCAATGTAACTCAGGTAATATTGTAGCCACAGATAAGTGTCGCGTGCTATCGAATAGAGAAGCTCGTAGCTAATAACCCGGAAGGAAATCTCATTAAAATGATTAATGCTTTACTCATACATGTTTCGTTCTATGTGTGCATACATTATTATGTGATGGTTATCTGATGGTGGGGGTAATTGTCTTGGAATCTTCAAAAGATCGGAGAGCTCAAGCGCCAGGCGTCGACAGTAGCGAGAACACTTAGATCTCTTTTGCTTCTGGGGCTGAATGTTAACAAAAGAAAACCTAAACAGAAAATTGATTTGATAAGATAAAAACGAGAATAGACACATATAAGAATGACTTCACACGAATTACAGCCAACGGTTCGAAGGAAACAATAATGATAAACAAAATGTATATTCGCATATATACATTAGAACGGTCTCAGAAGCAACGTCTAGGCAAAAGCGCAATGCAACAAAAACAACACAGTCTCTTCCCAAATCGTCACTATTGCACTATATGTTCACTCGGGTGTCGTCCTATTTCTACGGTGTTGAGCGTTTTCGATATGGTAGGGTTTGAGAAATGCCTTGATCGCTCACAAAACTCAAATCAATCGGCTTTTCATAACGAAAATAAGCAAAGCATCTAATCTCGCTATGTTCACCTTGGGGATATTTTGCTGTTCTAACTCAAATCAGGTTTTACAAAAACATAAATAGTAAAGGCATCGAGCGTAAGTTTCTTTGCAAATCCTAATAGTAGGCATTTAGTGTACAGAAAGGCATCTACGCTTAGAGAAAAGCACTTTACGTTCAGTACAAAGGAAGATATAGATAGATCACTGAACATTCGCAAATGTCCGGAGACGCCATTGTGGCGAACCCTCTGTGTCGTCGGAATCGAACTAGTTCCTATTTGAATTCTCCCACTGTCGTTTATTCTATCTATATAAAGAAAAATCGATTGGCCTAATTGTATTGCCCGATCCGAAACGTGAAAATACTTCACTTCATCATAAAAACGAACTAATAAATGACGAAGATGCATTCATATATCTGCATGATTATACTAGCTACTAAGGATATATTACATTATTTCTAAAATTTTTTAACGTTTTTTTTAAACTTCCTATCTGTTTGTTTGCTGTTAGTCTTCTATGCAACTATATGATAACAAATTGTGTGTGCAATATATATTCCTCTATATGAAAAGCTAAATATCTCTATAAAAGTAATACATGTACATAGAATTAGGGGAACATTATTAAATACATGGTGACAATGCCGGGAGAAAATTTTCGTTTGATGACTGTTGCTGATTGAAACTGCTTACTATGGATAGGTGAGTAGACTATGAGCAGCCATGACGTTTTACTATCTCATTTCTGGCCTACAGAAAACAATGGCACTCTCGTGCTGCATTTTCGTTTGTGTTTTGGTTAAAGGAAACCTTGCTGAGATTTGTTAATTGTCGTTGCCTAGAAGAGCGGCAATATCCTGTAGGTCGGGTCCTGGTAGAACTGTAAGCTGTCGATTGCTCGCCGTAGACGGAGTCGCTAAAACAACAGGAAAATCGCCGAAAACGTTAAATTATAATAACCTTTAAATTCTTAAAGCACTGAATTTTTGTCAAGGTCAAATGAAGAGTGCATGCTCTTTGTGGCAGAGAAATACTTGCATACTTATTTATTTACGTGACACTCTGTTAATTAGCGCTTTTACGCTTTCGAATATCCATTGTATATACTGAACTTGGAATGTCAACGCATATATATATATATATATATACGTTAGAGGATAGAGAAAAAGCCAGAGCAGAGTTAAAATACTGACGTGGTGGGGCCGGCGGACCTGGCGGGGGCGTATGGTGGGCCATGGCAGATGTATGGGTGTGACTTGCCGCCACCGCCACAGCTGCCGCTGCTGCTGCCGCCGCAGCAGCTGAGGAAGAAGTGTGATGATGAGCATTTGTAGGTGGGTTGGGATGACTGTGGCCACTCGCCGACGTAGTCGTGTGTGCCGGGTGAGGATGCAAGTGATGTGTACTATGGCTTAAGGCGGGATGATGAGGGGCAGGCACATGTGGATGATGGTGATGCAAGGGTTGAAGGTGAGGCGGAAGAGGGTAAAGGGGCATCGGCGGAAGTCCTCCAAGGGCCCCCAACGGATAGAGCATGGCTGGCGTTGGCGGAGCAGAGGGCTGAGATGAGCGCCGAGCCCGACGACCCGCCTCCGCTGTACAGTTGTGTCGAGAAAGCGGACCGCGTTGTGAGAAGCTCCGGCCACAATGTTCACAGCTGTACGGCCGTTCACCTGAAAGAAGACCAAGAAAAGACAGCGCGAAGAAAGGCAGAGCACGGTACGGTTTGTTAATAATCATAATACTAATAATTGTATTTTTACATGATAGAAAGCTGTACATGGGATGATCATTATCCAGCACGATTTACCTATTGGAAGCCAATATACAGTGTGTGATGTTTGCAAAATCAGCAGGGGCTTCAGAAAGGGTCTTAGCTGGCATCAATTTGAGGGTTACATTCTGAATAGATACTCAGTCAGCTTCGATTGCGATTTTTATTTGGGCAACGGTGTGGCAGCTTTTTTTACATCAAATCTAGCAAATGAAGATGTTTCACTTCCTTAATCGTGAGAGCAGATACAGTTGCAATCACTACGTGTGTAGCATGCCTATATATATTGAGCAGGACATATTTTTCTTTCTAGCTTAGTTGATTTTTCGCCTAACCTTCAAAATGAAAGAGCTTAACATCAGCAAGCTTGTAAGAAATATGGTCTGCATACCGTAATGCTTTATGTATCTATGTAAAATTACCGGTGTGCGTCCGTTGATGTATCTCTAAGTGACTCCTCCATTTGGCTCTGTACTCGCAACCCTCGAAGTCACACGCGAGAGGGCCTACACTCGATGCGGAACTCCGGGGTCGGCCTCGCTTCTTTTGTGATGATCCCGATTCAGGCGTACCTGACGTACCGCCCGTGTTCGTCTTTGACGGATCTGTGAAATACCCCCGAGATAAGCACATCGTTAAGGACCTAACCGACCAGAAAGTATTCTTATCATGAATGTTGATGTTCTACGACCGGAAGGGGGAGGCATCAGCTGCAAGAAGGAAAAAGGAATTATTGCGGTATATTTTAAATTGAAACAAGGATGAAGCAAACTATATAACAACAGAATCTTTCTTAGTAGAGAAACAGTTAGCAACTGCTTTTGACTCGGCACACTCAAAACGCTAGTAACATTTTAATTCGAGTCGACCCTCAGAGTATCTATAAAAGATCTTCTTTCCGAAAACATTATGGCATTCCGTTCAGCGTTTATGTGGCTTTTAAATTTTCAAGTAAACGTCCGGTGGCTGACATAAGTAAATAGCTTTGACGTTGCTCGGAGAATATGTACTTCCGCAGTGTCATGCTGACAGGCATAAGAAATGTATTCTTATATATATATATATAAGAAATAATAAAAAGTGTGATACTATTTGTAAATTATTAAAAAATTCGTTGTCTAAACATTTATGGAATCACACTTATTAAAATTGTGTCGCTAATATATTGAACGTGCAAAACGGCAACAGTAATTTAAAGAGTCTTTTTTTAACGTCTTGGTTTGCTTTTTTTGCATTTGTGCATCTATTGGTTTAAATACGCAAAGATCTGTGCCCATGAATAATTAGGCACGTTCATTAAAGTATTTATCTTTTTTCATGATCTACGATAGCTACGATGTTGAATAATCGCAGAAAAACTCACTTTAACGCCAAGGAAACCACAAGACGCCCGTCGCTCACAATTAGACAGTGTTTCTTTAATTTAACTTCTATAATAAAAACAAATGTGTTCTTGCTATGATGATCTAAGGACATTGAATTTCCGAGGTTCACTAATTGCACTAGACGGAAAAGCAGCTCATATGGGGACTGTGCTTACCCACAGGATTTTTTTGATATATATAATTGAATTCTATCATACTTTCTCTTCTATGACTATGGAATATAAATTGACGTACGTAGAGTATCTGATGTCTGTCGAATTCTAAATTCTGCGGTCTAAATTAGACTGTTAAACCGCAAAAATTTCATTTTCTGTGATTCATTCAAAATGAAATCCATTTTTGCGATTACACTTTCTGTAAATCACCAGCTACATAGGTAAAATTGTCTATGGTGTTTATCCAGAAAGCTGTGAACGTTTCGTGTGAATATATAAATTATATTACGCTGCTTTTGGTCCATCATATATTTCAAAGATATTTCATAATTAGGAAGCATTGCGGTAGGTTAGTTGTGGGTATAATGGAGGCAGACAAACTTGGCCCCTATATAAAGTTGGCTGAAAAAATTATCCGTACATAAGTTTTTATTATTCAGGATGTTGCTATAAGTCGATTTGCATTGATTCAATCCACAATCAAGATCACACTATTCATTTGTAATACATTGATTGAGCTTTATAAGGCTCAAAATAGGGGTTGGTATTTACATCACATTATCTTTATCGATTTTGAAAACTGTTTATTTCAAGCATGTAATCTTACTTATCTATTTCTAAAGCAATCTAAATTGAATTATCGCTCCGTAAAGTCGTAGAATCGCTCTTGTGTACTTCTCTACAAGACGGAAAGACAGGGAGGTGTCTTCGGCACACAAGTGCATACTACCGTCCATTATTCATTGCTACTTCAAATGATGTTAAATGAAGTTGTATCCTTGTCGAAGTTTAACAGATCCTCCCTTATACGAGATGTACTACAGACATGCATGAATGTGATATGGAAAAGACGTACGTGACGTAGACAAAAGTTTTATTTACGCCCGGTAACAGAATCGTTATGACTGACAACAAATATTCCGAGTAGGCCAGGCGGTGGCATTACTAATAGAAATATTTATGAAGCCTGCGATGCTCAATTCGTAGAAATTGTCTCAATAGGGAACTCGTAAGACACCGAATCACGATGCAGGTCGATGCCGCGATTAACTCGATCTGAAACAAGAAGGATTGTTAGTGTCACGTCTATCCTATAAAGAAGAAATCATATTTAGCTTCGATCTTGAGAGAACCCCCAGAATACATAAGAACTATATGTTCTCTCGACAATGTCGCATAGCTTGTGTTCCACTAGTCTAAAATTGTATACAATTATATAGCGGCACGCGCCGTCGAGTCGCAGTGTACCGTAACCAATCGGCAACGACTGATAACGCCTTCAGTATTAAATAAATGTTTAAGCATTATTCTACGCAAGTTTCAGGCAGGACGCTTTTCAGGTAAAAACCTTTCAAAATACGCCTAGTACCAAAAAAAACGGAAAAATACTACATTGACTAAGACAAAAAAACGAGCTGGTCATTAAATCAACGTTTATTGTTTTTCTTGAAAGTTAATATCCTCGTTATTAAGGGCCAACTTTCACCTAATGTCGAAGGCTACCGTAGACTAACGACATCTAAATGGATTTTTAAGTTTTGCTATAATCACAATTTTCCGGTAATTACACTGGTCCCGGCATAGAGTATTTAATACTATATTTTAGCTAATCATCGTCGTTGTTGCAGTTGTCATTCAATAAAAACCCTTTAGAGATGCACTTAGATTGATACAAGGTCTCACCTTGACGTACAGCAGGTGTACTTAATGGGTGGATCATAAGCTTCGTAGAAAAACTTCTTTCATGCAATTTTTTCAGATTTGACGTGTTGTTCACTGCAGTTCCGGTAACTAACTAATTGAAGTCTGAGATGCCTTTTTCTAACGAAATTTTATAAAGAAAACAATACAGCTCAGGTACATTATATAAAACCCTCAATGTGTTTCTTATCACTGCCCGTTCGTTTCTAGTTCGCTTTACTTATGAATTGATTGAATTGTTAGTTACCTTCAAAAACTTCCAGCGATTGCATATGCGCAATGGCGTCGTACATAGTTCGTTCTACATGCTAATTTTCTTTTTCCTGCAGCCGTTGTCCTGTCGACTAGGGTTAGATGTTCTGTGATTGGAATCATTTCTCTATGGTGGAATTAGCGAAAGCCCGAAAGCAGAGCCATCATCGACCGACTAGATCAGCAAGTGATTTCTACTAACAACGACTGATTTCTCATTTCTTCAGAAATCATTAGATAGAGATTGCTCAAGCCTCACGACTTGTGATAATGACAAAACTCTTTGAGACTACCGTTCTGTTCTGTCTGTAAGAACATTATTACTCGAGAATTTTAATGTGGTATTGATTTTATTTCGTTCATTTTCTCAACACGTATTTTTTTCGTGCTTTGAACTGACACACTGTATACATATAGTACTATTCAGAACAAAAATGGAATCAGCTATATTGCACATACCTGAGTGATTAGATATCAAACGTTACATTGTCGTAATCTCCCGTTCTGGGTCTTCTACCAATTACAGAACCCTTGATAATTATTTTCCCAGCTTTGCCTAAGCATATTGTCATGAAAGCTTGCATAGAAGACAAAACTTTTTGTCGAACACACATATATCAGCGAGTAAAACATGAGAGAAAATAGTACAATAAAAAAGGTTTGATGTAGTTATGTGAACGGGTCGCCGTCTAATAGGTCGGTTGAGTGATTAAACACTCGCGGCTTCTTGGCTCCTACTTTTAAAAAACGTCATCAGCAAAAGTAGCTCTGATGACTATACTGTACTATTTATAGAACTAAACGGACGACATGTTGTGCAACTGACTCTTCCGACATTGTACCGGATGACTGCCTACTCTGCCTCATTGTTGGCTAGTATTTTTTCCTTTTTACTTGATTATATCTATGATTAATAGCATTATTTTCGTTGTTAACATCAATCAATATTCTAGTTCCAACCTAATTAAGCTCGCGTAGTGATAGAATTACTAGCATTGCTACATACGACAGATGCTGCTCATTAAATGCCTAAAAACACGCTTTTTTTTTAAAAGATATCTATTGTCATATTCGTTTCACGCATCGTTCCGTTTGTGGCTCTCCGTTGTCACCATTATTTAATATTACCAAAGCCTCTTAATGAAGGGCGCATATCATATCACACATTCAGTATTGATGCTAATCTAGTTGCCGTGTTTAAGTGCAAACGTGATGTCGTCATTAACTTGATGTTCATCTTCATTGACGGCTCCGTTCGCGCTAGGGCTACTAAACTTCTCAACGTGCCGCCTTTTCACCCGCGCGTACGGTCCGACTTCCGGATCGGTGATAAAGTCCCAGATGACCTTCACCCACGACGTGTGGTACGGCAACGTGTCGTAGTACTCGGGGGCGATCTTTCGAACCTCTGGAAGCTTGCTGAACGGCACGCTAGGAAAATCGTGATGTTCCATGTGGTATCCAACATTGAATGTGACATAATTGAGAGGACCGTAATAGGAATATGTTTCATGGCCCTTAAGGAACATATAGTGTTCAGAAATGAAGTGACCAGCTACAGGGTGTGGACCCATTGCTAACAGTGATCCAAGGATAATATAGACGAACAAAACCGTTGGCCCACAGCAGTGATAAATGATGAGGTCAAAGATTATCTGAACGCACGCGTTGAGATACTCTAGATTAGAAGGCTTTTTCGGATAGACGACCAATGGGCGTATTGCGTAGAAACAACTCTGGAAGCACACCCAAATTGCTTTGCTAAACGTTCGACAAAATAGTTTAGCCTCAAGATCTGTGGGAATATCCGTGTCGAGTCTTTCGTCGCCCTGATAGCGGTGGTGCTCGAGGTGGTACTTGCGGAATGAGATCGACATTGGGATTCCGATTGGCAGATTTGCGAACAGGCCGAAGAGCCGATTCGGAAGGCCACATGTCTGGCCAAACGCCTGATTGTGTGCAGTTTCATGAACTGCAAGCATCAGCGCGTGGTTAATCACTCCTGTCATGAGAAAAGTGAAAAATTTATGTCATTATCCTTGTATGTCGACACTTCCTGATCCTTAAATCAAACGGGACTTACGTTCAATGTCAGGAAATGTTTGCCTTACTTTTGATAATATGTAATGGAGGCTGTTTAATGTTTTTCAAACCTCCCCGGTTGAACGTATTCAAGGCAGTAAATAATTAGAACGATCTTACATGAGCCGTGTGAGTGAAACAATTCCTCGCACTATGGCAGTATTACAGTTTTTCTATATATCTGTTGACCGAATCCATGACTAAACTCCCACATAACTGACATTAACTGATATTACACAATATTTTATAATAAATCCCTTCTAGTTACTGTGTTCTTCTGTTAGTTTTTTGACAATTCTTATGTCAATTCAATTTCAGTTTAGGATACATTTGAGACGCCCCGAAAATATGTATGAAAAAAAACAATGAGTAGAAATTGCGGATACAGCTGCCGCCTGTGACTCATGACAAATACTCCCCCCATAGTCGTGACAGATGACTTTTACCTGTTTGTCATTGATTAGAATAATAGAAATGTAATTATTAGAGGACGTTCTACTGAGGCCACTGGTCTTATATAACTGGCCAGGAGATACACTCCGGTACTTATCATTAGTTCGTCTGTTGTTGATCTTACTCTGATCTCCGACTCTAATGTCGTCGAGCTTCGAGTTGTAATGTAACAACATAATGTGGATGAGAACAACTAACGAGTCAACCACCGTATATCGGCGAATTAACCTAGTTGATACGGGACCACTGATCTGACGAGTTTTCAGCATGCCTGTACACAGCGTCCATCAACAAGGCTGGACAAGGTTAAGAGATCAGCGGTTTTGTCTCGTGACCTTCATCTCAGATATTTTAATAAACATGAACATGGAATTGAGCAAATAGGTTTAATTAAGCAAGATGAGAAAATTAAAATACGAATAATGGATATGAATTAGCCAGTTTTAAGAATTGCCGTTGCTCTCCGCCGTTACCGCGATCAGCTACTACGATACAGATGGATACGACTGGTCGTCACCTCACTTTGTTAATATATATGTACATATACACATCCGTATCTTGTCTAGTGCCTTACCCCCAAAACAATAGCCCAAAACCAGGCAGGTATACCAAGAAGCGCTGGACAACATCCAGCACATAAGCATTTGGACAATGACCAGGACAGCGACGATCCATTTAAACCGAGGATCATGGTGCATAAGCCTTTTTATCTCGGGGTGTTTCTTGAGAATCTCCTTGCGCCGCGTGGCATGCGGTTCATCACTGTAGGTCCACTCAAAGTCATTACGAGATACGTGCTGACCCATTCTGGCACTGACAAGTCCTATACCTGGGTTTGCTATAAAAGCGACTGCGCGAGCAGCAGTAGTAGTTGAAGGGTATTTGCCGAGTAGTGAGCTCTATCTCTTAGCTGATGTAGATCTTGCCACCTAAAAAGACGAAACACACGTAAAGAAAGGATTTTTTTAGAAAACGAGAGGATGTTATCTGTCTTGTAATACTACTACTACTACTAATAATCATAATAGTGTACAGATTCTTCACGTCAGTAGGGAAAGCACTTAGTTGGCTAGGCGATTTTGGGGTAAAGGAGATCTTAGCATGTTCATAACGAATGTCATGCTAATCCTGCGTTACGACAGAGGTAATTTTTTGAAAGCTTCGCATAGTTCTCAAAAAATACATATTTTATATTCCAAGGTCAAAACTATTTTATTGGCGAAACAAAGCTACCATAATCCCTAAGGTGGTTTAGCTGTCGTCTGGTAGCAGCCGACAACTGTATTTGCTAGAGCTGAAATCTCATGTCACCAACAACCTCAGCACAGTAATCTTGGGGTATATAGTAGTTCATACCGAATTTAGTTCAGTTCAACATAAAGGGTGTCTTGATAAGAAAGAAATCAGAAGTTAATCCGTGTCAACCCTACGATAGATCCGAGGTCTTGAATAACAAACCGGTACTATGCTTTTCTAAAAATACCACTGATAACAAGTTTTCCCGGTCGGGGATGTTACCACGTTCGCTTATTAGCGCTTGAACTAACGTATGCTTAGTAAGATTCTAAAATTGTGTGCAGTTTTCGGTAACTATCAGTACAAACGAAAACTTTATTACTCTTTTATAAGGAACCGCAGTTGCATTTTTGGCAAACGTAAAAGACTTTGCGCTCACTAATCATAACCGCAAGTTTATGCAAGGAATGCTCTAGTACGAAAAAAACGCGTGAAAACGAGGTGATCTCCGATTGCTCCAAGCAACATCAGCCAGGCAAGTATAATATAGATGATCAAATAGTTGCAAGTATTGCAAAATATCGGTCAGTAACTACATTGTTAATATCGCCGCGGTCCCACGCTAATCCACTTATACTGTTCCAAAGTCAAATGAAGGAAAATTTGTCATAATCGATAAACTAATGCGGCTGATCGAATTAGACACCTCCTACGGCAACCAGGCTGGCTAATGTACGGCCGATGATCATTGATTTAGCTGTCGGTATGAAACTGGCAGATTTGACGGTCGTTTTCGGACAATAACAGCGGAGTGTGCTAACGGATACCCTCTTTCTCCAAAAACACGTGGCCCTTAGGCGCCAGCCAATGTAGTATCGTATCAGTGTTGTTCTAGTTTGTCGCCATTGATTTCGATGATCGTCCGATCACCGTACGTATGATCAGATTTTGCAGGTGTCAGTTGCTCGTATTGGACACGTTAAGAGAGGTACAGGATACCAATAGCCGGCTAAATGTGTCGTACAACTGTAGCGAATAAGCTACGACAGTCAATGGAGGAGAGCTAGTTCTTGCCGAACCAATATCCGGCTCAAAGGTGGCACAAGAGCCTTAAATCACGTTGAGAAATGATTTTCTGACATTGTAGCCAACTGACCTCGAGTTCCGCGAGGAAACGTACCAGTTACAAAGAGACACATAGGTGGAATTCACTTAGCGCCTAAACGCAACTATGATAGAATCATGTCGTTTCTTCAATTTCGAAAAACTAGAAAAAAAATAATATGAGAAGTGCCATTATACAGTTCGTCGAGTCGCTATTTTGTATTCCATTCAAGTAACAAACAACTCCATACCATTACAGTAATACATAAAATAAGAGCTATTTTTATACGCTCCCACATGATTTTGCCCGTGTGCAGTACTTCGAAAAAGTGCAGCTAATTAACCTTAATATTAAAAACTTAATATTAAAAAAATTAAAAAAGATCTAAAAAAAAAAAATATATATATATATATATATATATATATATAAATATATTATATAACTTTACAAGCGAATAAACATTTTTCAATATGAAATCAAATAATCCCCATGCGGATAATAGTAACGGCAGGTTCATTCAATACAATGTATCCCATTAATTTATTGAACAACTTCTCGAATAGTATTGATGATGAATGTCTAGCTAACCAACGATGTATGGTGTGGCGTAATCACGTTTCCCTCTCCGTTCGGTTCTACACGCAATCAATCTTTGCCCTTCTCAAATAAGGGGCCCCGCTGTAGGGAAAGTCATGCAAATAGTATTGCTTTCTCCGAGAGCTTGAATAGAATACTGACAGACGCTAGCGCATACGAGGGTACTGTACGAAATCGGCTAGAGAGTCGCGCACCTTGCTATTTCTAACCGGAAGCTAATTCCACTACGAGATATAATAAATGTACTATTGCCACACTATATCCGATTCGAATCGAAAGGCAGGTTTACCTCAACTTGGCAGTGTATTCGTGATAGAGATTTCTTTTTAAATGTAGATTGTTCTAAAAGCAGTCGGCATTGTTGGCTTACTGGATAGATTTAGTAGCAGGCTTTGCGTGTATTTGATTAACAAACAGGGATTACTATGTGATTTTCTTTTAGTTAATCACGGCTTTGCAGTTTATAACAGAAACTGTCACGATTCTATTTTTCAAAAAAGAGTCCTAATAGTGATTTTGGCAGTTTGCGAAAGCCGTCACTTCTCATGTCTTAAAATGAGTTTAAAGATTCAGTTTTTCAAAAAGCTGCTGTCATAATATTATGCCAGTATAGAAGAAAAATTAACGATGTAACCAGCTGTGGCACTAAAAACAAATGGAGCTCATCCACCTATCTACTGTACTTCATTTAGATATTCCTAAATGCTATAGGAAATTGACACTGTACTTATAGAAGTGATGGCCTTCTCAGCTCAAAAAGGCTCAGCAATAGTTGCTGTAGGGATACTTTGGCTCTAGTTTGATGCTTTAAAGCATCAGACTAAGGCGCTTTGTTCTTCTAAAGGACATGCATTAAATATGAGACGTTCACTTCTGTTAACACGCCTTCTCTTAGTCAAATAGAAGGTTCAGCTAACCTTCTATTTGATTAAGCGACCTTATAAGACCTTAAAGCAGTCAACAGTGGGACATTACCACATGAAAATTAAGTCCACGATGCCTACACCAGTTCTATAAATATTTGTATAGATAATGGTTATTTTATTGCGAGTCTGACTATGCTAGCATTTTTGCCGAACCATGTCAAATTTAGTTTATCTGGGGTATTCCGCAGGCTGCTTAGTGAAATGGGTTACTTGACTATTGCATTTTTACAATCCGCAAGACCTAACAGCGTGCCCATTCACTAATCTATGATTGCCTTAACAGGGCAGCGAGTGGTTAATACATCAAGGGAACGTGTCGACACAAGCAAATGTTCTGAACACTGAACCGGTCAAACTGCCTGCGAAGCTCAATTCAGTGGAACGACGATGCTCCTGTTGATTTAAACTTTCTAAAAAAGCAAAATTTGAATAATCAAAAATCCAACTATTTCAATAGTGCAGAGTTAGCGATGGATTATCTCGGATTGTCCAGACATCAATCGCGGTCATCCGCATTTCGGCGGGGACAAAAAGCGTTCACGATTAAAACTAATCCTTTTACCATATTTGGCATATTCAAAGCAGATTTTGTTATTTTTAGTTTTCTACTAATCAAAACACCCACAAGAAACGACATTCACGTTAATATGGCAACGGAGTTAATTTGCTTAACTACCAAACAGAAGCGTCAAATTGAAAAATTTATCATTGCACGTAAGCAATTACATTTTCTGTTCCCCTACTCTCTACGTTAGGGTCGAAAGTAGAGAAAGATCATTTAATATATTCCAGAAAAAATTATCGACATAAAATTGATAGCAGCGTCCGAACAGAAAGAAGATGCTTGGTCGCCTACGGTTGGTATCAATAGCTGGGCAACCCAAAAAAAAAATACACGCGGAAAAAATCCTGCCTGGTCCGTAGTTAAATTCGGATTAACTGATAAGAGTTCAAAATGCTTGAGTTTCCTATTTAAGTACATCAGTAACAAAGAGTTGTCTTGATCATACTTGAATTGCAGGGTAACTAAATGTAAAAACACAAATATAAAAACAGATATTTATAGTAACATGCGAGATGTCGTATCAGGGACCTCTCTCATATGATACACTTAATCAAGCTGCACGTACTGCGCATAAGACCCAAACCTGTTATTGATTAACACATTTCACAGGCCCATGGTACTTTTCAGAATACACTTGAAATCCTTATATATATAGATATACTTTGGTTGAATCCTGTAACCCAGTTCAAAACCATTGCCCCGATTTTTATTTACAATTTGCCACCACTTGTGTTTTGCTTCCAAACCACTTAAGCTCCCTACACAAATGTATAGCATCACTAGATCAATTGCACGTATCACATAAGGCTTTTCTTCGGAAGACAATTCGGATATTCGGAAAACGTGTTTATTAATCGTGTAGTATTTCTAACTAGAGAATACATATATATATATATATAGTAATGGTTGAAATGTATGGGCCTCCAGCTTCGGCCTGTTCGTTTATTTGAGATTTCTTTTCAGTCCTAAATTTGTTTATCACATAATACAAGCACACAGAGTAATGGTGTTTGGCCACTGTGTAGCAAATACCGTTACGGTGCCTGTGTCTAGATTAGATTGAACTTAAGATCAAGCTCCCATGTCTGGCTCGAGTATGCCAAGGTTTGTGAGCACGCTTTTGGTTTGGTCTGATTCAGGTGTTTCTGTAATAAGCGCACTTTAATATTGTATGAAATTTCGAAAAAAAAAAAGTTCTATTAATTCCCGATTCATTTGATATCACTAAAAACTAGTAGCTAGTGTACGATAATTACGTTCGAATATAACACGCCATCTGTCAGGATATTTAGAAAGCTCTATTTCTATTTATCTTACCCAACAGAGTGATACGCGATTAAAACCAACACTTCTTCCACATTGCGTGTCATTACTGATAAATAAAATGGCGGCATTACGCTGAATTATGAGCTCATAGAAAAGATTAATACCAAATCGAGTTAGTCAAAATAAAAATTGTAATAATCACTCTCCTATGACCTAATACATAACTATAAAAAC